TTGAAGTCTTACGCAATTTGTGTGCATGCTCAGTCACTGATGTTGTGTCTGACTCTTTGCAGCTCCATGGACTGTAGCCTGCCAGGCTTCTCTGTCCATGAAATTTTCCCAGCAAGAATACTGGAGTGGGTTGCCATTTCCTCCTCGGTGAGATCTTCCCAACCCAGGTATTGAACCCACATTTCCTGTGGCTCCTGCATTGGCAGGTAGATTCTTTATGCTGAGCCTCCTGGGAAGGCCCTATGTATAATCCCTTTAGAGAGAGGGTCAATAAAAGCGGGTGACACTTATTAACTTATTAACAACAATCAAGTAGCATTGTAGATGAATTATCTCATTCTATCGCAACAATTACAGCAACACAGAATACATGTCAGGTACCTAGTATATGCCAGGCATTGGGCTAAATGTTTGAATGTATTATTAAATACATAATCATTATATCAATTCTACGAGACAGATGTTATAATCACATCTACTTCAAAAATGAGGAAACTAGGCTTCAAAGAGCTTAACTTGCCCAATTGCCCCAGCTTTTGTCCCCCTTTTAGTAAACGGCTGGGCAGGAATAGAAGCATCCCTATGTGACAACAAAGCAGTCTTTCTAGGCTTACATCCCATGAGGTGGTCATCCTCAAAGACCTTCATGTCCCCCAAAATGTTAAGAGAATCACAAAAAAAGAAAAAAATTAATTCCCTATGCCTTTTCCATGAGGTCATCTTGATAAAAATCAAAGGTTTTCACAGCAACACAATATCAGAAGCTATGAACTAATTCTCCTGTATAGAGAGCATTCTGTCTCCTTATGTATTAAATACAAGGTAGGAAGTACAAGTATAGCAGAGGATGAGATGGTTGGATGGCATCACTGACTCAGTGGACATGAATTTGAGCAAACTGGGAGATAGTAAAGGACAGGGAAGCCTGGCATGCTGCAGTCTATGGGGTCTCAAAGAATCAGGCACAACTTAGCCACTAAACAACAACAGGAAGTTCATATCACAAAGGGAAAGTTTTTCTTTAAGGGTTATCCATGATGAATGGGTAAGATAGTACTGAGTTTCAAAGTTACTTATATAAACATGCAAATATGCATACTTGGAGCAGGGTTGTTGCTGTTCCTTACAGACTTCTGTGACCTAGAAGTGCTTTCCCCCAGGAATACTTGGTCTAGAACAAGGAGACATGGCAAGGTCTGTGGGGTCTAATCAAGGTATCATTCCTCATGCCCCCTACAGGTGGGCAGTCCTGTGCAGTGAACAAGTGAGGATTTCTTGAAGGTGCCAAGGTCACTCCCATGGCTTAGATTCACAGTGGCTGGACTTGAATCCCCAGTTTTATCCTCTGTAGATGTGTGACCTTAGTCAAGTTTTTAAATTTCTCTGCCTCATTTTCCCCATCTGATTATGGGGAGAATATTAGTATTAGCTGCATAGATTTGTTTAAAGAATGTAAGAGAAAAAATTCATAAGAATGGCTTAGAACAATATGTAACACGGATTAAGGATTCAGTAAGTTTCAGCAAAAAACACATATATTATTAAGATTCCTAAATAGTTCTCCCAAGTGTAAGAGGAAGCCATATGTGAAGCCCTTTATGAGTCTATGTATGAGCTGATTAATACCAATAGGGGAAAATTTCTATGGGGAGAGTAGACAGAGCAATTCTGCAAGGATGTGTGTATGCATGTACAATGATGTATTATTGTACACTCAGTTGTTCTGTTTGCATGTATAATTTCCTAAGGACTCCAAACTACAATATCTCACTTAAAATTATGTTTCATTTCTAGGGATGTGGATCCTCTTACAAAGGTAGCAAACACATAAGTCAAGAGCCACACAATCACAACAGCAACTATTAGGCTCACCAGAGTCACATGTTTGTAACATCAAAATTCTCACTTGGCATGCACCAGTATCTCTAGCCATTCAGTAAATGGATAGTGACTAATAGAGTGGCTTCTTTTACAAGCTCAAAATAAGGTGACATTTTAAAATGTATTTAATTCCTTTTCCACTTTATTACTATATTTTCAAAGCAAAATTCTCAAGCTCTCCAAGTTAGATGTTATGGGACTGGTTATATAATTTCCAAATATCCAACTCTGTCAATGAGAAATCCACTTTTCAACAATCAGACTGGCAACATTTTAAACAGATTGTTACTATCCAGTGTTGGCAAGAGTAAGGTAACCACACTGTGGATACTCAGGAAGGGTCTTTACAATATCCATCGAATTTAAAGTGAACATCCCCCTAGAACTGGTAATTCTCTTCTCAGAATAAATCTTCTGTAGTATTCTTGCAGAGACAATGTACACAGATAACCACAGCATCACTCTTTGTAATAGTAAGAAACTGGAAAATCCAAGTGAATATTCTGGGGGATATCGGTTGGCTGGTTACATTAGGCAGTTACATTTAAAAAGAAATCTTCATATACTGACAGAGAAATATTTGAGAAATATTAAAAGAAAGCAAATTTCAGAACACTGATAAATGAACCATTATCCAGTTTTTTGAAATAATGAAAGATTCCTGTGGTTATACATGGGAGGGAACCCCTGATGGTTCAGTGATAAAAAATCCACCTGTCAATGCAGGAGACCAGGGCTTGATCCCTGGGTTGGGAAGAGCCTCTGGAGAAGGAAATGACAACCCACTCCAGTATTCTTGCCTGGGAAATCCCATGGACAGAGGAGACTGTGGGCTACAGTCCACAGGGTCGCAAGAGTTTGACACAACTTTGTGACCAAACCACCACTACCATACCAAATCAACAACACATATGGATAGGAAAGAGGGTTCACTTTATATTTTACTATAATTTTCTTGTTGCTTTATAAGCAAGTAGTACTTTTAGAATTCAAAGAAAATAACAAGTATTTTCGAAAGAAACAGGGAACGCAAAGTTATTATTTGCATTATTATTTGCAAGTGTAAAAAAAAATCTTAGTCATCCCCCAAATTAATTTCTGCTATCCCATATGCTTATAATGACAACTGAAGAATAAAATGCTTATGAGATCTTAATAGACACACTCTAGTTTAAAAGGGCTTCCCTGGTAGCTCAGATGGTAAAGAATCTGCTTGTAATGCAGGAAAGCAAGGTTTGATTCTAGAGAAGGGAATTGCAAACCACTCCAGTATTCTTGCCTGGAGAATTCCATGGACAGAGGAGCCAGGCCAATTAATGCATGGGTTCGCAAAGAGTCAGACATGACTAAGTGACTAACACACACATACCTTCATAAAGCATGATGAAAAACATTCCCTATTTGTAGGCCTGTAAATGGAGCTGAGGAGGAATGGGAAGAAGAGAACAAACAGCCCTCCACCTACACTTCTGAAAAGTGAAAAATAAGTAGTTTACCACCACTGGCCACCTTCTTTCTCCACCTTCTCACCCAAATGGTACCAGAGAGGAGCCCAACCCTTCTAGGCCACTGACTTCAAACACAATAAATAAATAGATCAGGTGACTTGACTGACAGAACAGATGAAAACAGAGGGAAGTGTGCTGAGAGGGTGGGGACAACAAGGTTATTATGAAAAAACTGGTGCTAGCCAGAAGGGAAGAGTATTGTACCAATGAAGAGAAGATACATATGAAATGAACGGAAAAGCAGGAGAAAGTAACAAAACAAAAGCAGAAAATGTTACTATTTATGAGGAGTTTAGTTTTCAGGACATCCCCTGAAGTGGACAGCGGCTGTAGTCTGCATTCTCTAGGGCTGCCCTCATAGGAAAGCTGACTGAAGGCAGATTGCTTGTTGGAGAGGGGTCCTGTAATTGATTAGATTAAGTCTTAGAAGAGCAGCACATCAGGTATGAAGCCCATTACATTCAATTCGAAGATCTTATCACGTGCTGGGCTATTCCCGTTAGACAAGGAGTGATTATTGCTTAACCTGTACATTGTTTAAACAAGCTTCCAAAGGATATTTCTTCCCAAAGGAAGCTAAGGTGATTTAAATTGAATTATGTATATATATAATTAAATATAATGATTTTATATATATATACGCACATACATGTATAGACAGACAGAAAGACATACACCTACATTCTTCATATAATTGCCCCAGAGGCATCACCTGAAGATACCCACTCTCAAAATGTGTCTAAGAGAACTGGCAGAGGCTGAGATGGGAGCAAAGGCCTGGAGTGATGCTCTAGGGCCAAACACCTTCCTACAAACCTCTGAGATCTATGGAATATCCCAAAGCCCTGGCCTGGCCCCAGGCTACAAAAAAAAAAAAAAAAAACCTCCACCAAAGCCCCCAGAGACCTGGCAACCACGTGATTCGCCGACAGACACCAAAAGTTCCTCTGCTAAACACATCCAACTTTTATTTTCTCCTTTTCCTGAGTGACCGGCTGGCGCATCCCGCCCCCGGCCCCCCTCCGCCGCCTCACCTCCGGCTTCTTCTTCCTCGCACTTCGGGCTGTGGGAGGCCTCGGGGTATCTCCTTTCAAGCTCGACTGGCCTAGGGGGTCCTAAGGCTCAGTCCCTCCCGTGCGGGCGTCCCCTGTGAAGCCGCGGGAGGGAAACCGAGCGTCCTCCGGTCCGACCCCGGCCGGGGGACGGCAGCCTGGGGCTCAGCCGCTGGGCTCGGGGGCGCGGCGGGGAGACTTACCTGCGCGGAGCGGCTCCCGGAGCTCCCGCGTCGCCGTAGCCGCGCGGCCGCCGCCGCATCTCCCGACGGCAGGTCCCCCCACCCGCCCCGGCTGCGGGGGTCCCGGGCCGCACTTTTTCCCAGCCTGGGAAGGAGGTTTGCGAGCGCCGAGGTGGAAGGTGGGGGTGGGGCGGGGTGATCGGGGAGACGAGGCGTAAGGATGTTGTTTGTTTGTTTGTTTGTTTTTCCGGATCGCTAGCAGAGACTTTAAACCATATGCTGGGAGGGTACTAGCTCGGCTCAATGGCGACAGAACAGCGGCCTGACTCTCACCGTCCGATCGATTTACTAAACAAACTGAAACGTGGGTGGGGATGTTAAACAGTAACCAGCGGCCTCAATGAAAACTGAAAGCGGCGAGGCCGCCACCGCCTCGGCGCGCTCGTTTCCCGGTTCCCAAGGCCCCGGGCCGAGCGGCGGGCGGGCTGGCGAGTCCCGGAGCCCTGCCTGCGTGGACCCGAGCGGCTCTCCCCGGGCCTCTCGGAGGCCTCCATAGCGGCGAGGCGCACGGCGGCTGGACCATCGGAGCCGGCGTTCCCTCTCTCCGCCTCCGGCCTCCTGAGGACCCCCCCACCCCCACCCCACCCGGCCTGAGGCCAAGCGCAACACAGTCCCTCTCCCGGCCCCAGGTCACGCCTCGCCCAGGGTGGTGTCTGCCCTGGGCCAGTGCCTCGGGACAGGCTGTAGCGCGGAGAAGCCTGCTGACCCGAGAATGCTCCTCTCATCCCGAGCCAATGAGGTCCAGAAAAGGGCCGGAAGTATTATTAAAGGGAATTAAGTAGGTTCCTAAGGACACCACTGCGGTCGCACCACTAGGGGAAGCCGCATCGATCTCGTTAATCTGCACCTTGGGCCGCTGGGGTTAACTTCTGCCCTGCGGCTTGTGACCACCTTGCTCCGCCAGAGTTCTGGAAAGTAGAGGGAGCCCGGTTTTCCATTCCCGGTTAACCTCGCCACCTGTGGCTTCGGTCACTTAGTACCTCTTTACAGATGTGTCTGATGGAAAACTTCCTTTCTTTCTCCCACACACTAGAAACCGTCACAAACTTGAGACTTGGAGTAGTGATGCCCAGACCCATCCAAGATGCGATGGTCATCCGGATCAGGTTTTTGTTAACCAAGCGATAGAGCCAGAAGCAGTGGCTCTTAAAAACATTTCAGCAATTTAACTTCGTGGTTTCAGGAATGAATGACTTCGGGTCAAACAAGTAATTATCTTCATGAGATAAATAGTTACTTAATCCCTAAGGTTTTTCTTTTCCGACCGAGGGGTGGCGGTTATTTTAAGACTGTAATAACAATGCTAGGGTGATCAAAGGGCTAGGTATTTTTTTTCTTTTTCTTTTTAGATCGGGTTTACTAAACTTTCTCAGTTTCCTCCTTCTGAATCTCTTGCTGAAAGGCTCCTTTAAAAACAAGTAGTTGGTGTTTCACAAATCAGAACAAAGAAGAGAGATCATATACTATTTTCTTTAGGTCTACCTTCTTGAGCAAAACACATTCTTTCGGTCTCATTGCCCACGTGGTCTGCAAACCAGGTCTGGAAAGGCCTCCCTCTGTCCAAATCCGCTCCAGGAAACCCTCCAGAGACAGCCCAGGCATGAGAATAACAATTAACCGGTGGTTGTATTTATTATGCAGATCTTTCACAGGTGTGTTGATTAAAGATCGCCCATGGTCATTCTCAAAAAATATTTCCACATACTTGGATAGTGAGTGTAGGTTGTCTTATTCTTGCCAAAATAGAAATATACAGTTCCCATAAAAGGCTGAAAAGTCTGAAGTCAGAAACTGTCCATCCCTGTTCTCAGAAACTTTGATGCCATTTGACATCTGTAGTTCCCAGCAGAGAAACCAGAGTCTCTGTTTATTTCACTCCTAACAATCCCTAATGTCAGTGGGTTCGGTTTGGGGTGATCAATTTCTCATCCATGTGTGGTAGAATCGCTAATCTACCAGGAAGTGATCATCATATATTCTGTATCAAAAATTATTTTGACACAATATGTAAAACCTTTGCCAGAGAATTTTATTGTCACAAGGATTTTGACTAATAAGAAGGGAAATGACAGTACATTCAAGGAAGTATAAACTCTGTTAAGACTTAGTTATTATCTAAAGGAAGTATTGGGGCTTCCAGGTGGCTCAGCGATAAAGAATCCGCCTGCCAAGCAGGAGAGGAGGGTTCCATTCCTGGGTAGGGAAGATCTCCTGGAGGAGGAAATGACAACCCACTCTAGTATTCTTGCCTGCAGAATACTGTGGACAGAAGAGCCTGGCAGGCTACAGTCCTGTCACAGAGTCACAGGCGACTGAGCACGCACAGAGAAAGCATTACATCCGTTCAACTTAGAAAAATCTCTAAGAGTGTAACACTGCCAGTCCTTTCCCATTCGCAGCAAGTAGGGAGTGGTTTCAGGTAACTAAATAGACAAATAAGTGGCTCTGTGAACTAAAGGAAAGTATGAGAGGTTGACTCAGCTACAGCTTGGGCAGTTTTACTAAATCAACCAGTGTCAACTAACCCAGCTTTAGAGCATCACTTATATTGTTCCTGAAACTAATTTATTACGATTCTCCATGGCATGGGTTTATGATGCTGAGAATGAAAAATGTGCTCTATGGAGAGTCGTCTCCCCTGACTCATGGCAGGGGGAGGAGCGGGTGGAACAACAGGAGAAGGAAGAGACCGGAATAATTTTTCAGGGCAAGGTTTTCCGAAATACAAAGTTCTGTTTCAATAGTCAGTATTTAGGGAGAAATCACACACATATGTGTTTATGTCAGATCTGCTTTTAACCTGAAATTAAACACCGCAAATTGGCGTCATAAAATTCTTTGCCTGGCTTTCCTGTTAAATGTCTCGTTTAACCTGGACTTTTCCTTTTCGCTTTGATCAACTTTTTTACACGATTTTTTCCCCCCTTCTCAATGCCACCAAACCGTCTGAATAAAAATTCCGGGTTTTCCCGGGAGAGCTTCTGATACTATGAATGGAAAGCTGTGACCTCTGGCAGAGCGGTGGGGAGGGGGCGCGCGGAACCAACGGGGAAAAGGTCTTGCAGATCTCAGCTCCCAGAGGCCCTGTTTCCGAGGGCAGCTCCACGCCCTCCGCCTGCACAGAAAACTTCCCCAGACGGGAGGTGTCCACTTCCTGCCCAGGTGCTCCACCTCTGCTGACCCGGTGTCACAGCCGTCGCACCCACACTGGAGCCGGCCACCGCCCGGGAGGGCGCAGTTAGCGGCGATGACCGCCCACCCGCACGCAAGCTTCCCCGCCGGGGGTTACGATTAAAAAGGAAAACTCAAAAACGCGCACAGTTCTCCACCTGCCGGTCCTCTCTGGATTGGGCAAAGCTCAGGAACCCCTTCTAAGCCGCTCAGCTGTAAAGGACCGCGGGCGGGATGTGGCCACGGGGCAATTCAAAGGCTGGAGCTGAGCTCAGAGCATCCCCCAACTCAACCTTTGGGGCTATGTTTGACCCTGGGGGCGAATCAACGGATAAAGCAGCCTCCGCCAGAATTTCAAAAACTCCCTGGACTCCACTGAATGTTTTTTGCATCAGAAGTGAAGGATTCCAGTCATTGGGACTGGCGTGGGGATCGGGGATTGGGGAGAGGAGGGCGCTGCCGGTGGAGGTGGGGGATGTGTGTGTGAGAGAGGAACAGTCTAAAGCCATCCTGTCTTGGAGTCTAGGGCCTGGGGCTTTTTCTCCGGCCGCCGTTCACTGCCCTGTAACCCAGTCTCTCTCCGGAAAAGCACAGCCCTTTGGTCCCTAGCGCAGTCCAAAGCGAGGCACTGCCGAAGCTTTAAAGCTGCGAGGCTCCCGACTTTGGGAAAGGAGATGCTAAACCATTTCATCGCCGCCGACCCTACATAGTAGCTTCAGTGAGGTCTGCTCCTCCGGCCTGGAGCAGTAGCAGTTTGTCTCCGAATCCCGGGCTTTGGTACCCTCGTCTGTATTTGGTTTGTCGGACTTTTCACCGGGCACACATCTTTAATGCCTTGAATTTAAAGTGGTAAAACAAACACTCTCCCCTTCCCTAAATCCGCAGAATGGGCAGATTAAACACGGAGGAGGGGGCTGATTAGTGTTCCCCCCAGCCACAGCATCACCAACACAGTGTAGAGCCTAAGAAGCAACCTCCAGGCCCTTGCCTGTCTCTTTTGGAGAGCCAGGCCCTTAAAAAACAGACTTCGGGAAAGCTGCAGGCAATGCCTCCACAGCTAGGCGCCCTACTTGCCCACATGTTGGCCCAGATAAAAATTAGCCTTTCTTTTATGGCCTCATCACAGATGAGCACCTAGAGTAAACCCATGTAAAGAAGGCCACAGGAGTATTTCCATTACCTGTTAATCTAAATGAAAAAACCAAGATTTCAGATTAAGTGGCTCTGAGGACACCTCTGACTGAGACACTGTCAAAAATCGAACATTCACTAATTCTCAATGTCAACCTAGGGTTCCTGTGCCAAAAAAAAAAAAAAAAAAAATGAAAACTGCTAGGCTGGATCTTTTTCCACCAGCTCCTCTCTTTGTAGATTTCCTGTGAAGTATTGACTGCCAAGGTCTCTGCATAATTTGCAAACTTTTACAGTCATTTATGGTACATGCAATAAAAAAAGAGGTGATATGAACACACTAGTTCAAGGTGTAATGCAAAGATGTATTCGGTGCCCTTGGCAACTATCTGTGGGACCTATTTGTCTTTGCAGAACACACCCTTCTCTGAAATGAACCCCTCTGTAACAAAGATTGGCCCTTTACATTTCCAGGGCCTCGGCCCCTCCACGGAAAGGCATGTGTTCAAACCAGAAAATTTGATTCTTTCTACCTCATTCCAAACCAGGAAAAAAAAAAAAAGATTCCAATAAAAACTGGAGGGAAAAAAAAAGAAAAAGAATCTTAAAGTTCTCTACTTCCCTACTCTCTCTTATCATAAAGAAGATAGGGAGGAAAAAAAGAAAGAAAGAAAATCGATTGCCAAGTTATAATGTAATTTCCAACTGCCCCTTCCATAACAGAGATCCACAGGACCTTCCTTGTTTAGAAAATAAAAGGATTTAGATTGTTCAGAGAAAACACACCATTTTAGATTGTAGGTGCCCAAAAGAGAAAAAAATTGTAAACATTTTTGCGAAAATACATAGTTAGTCAAATACAGATTTGTTGCTGGATTTTAGTTATACAGTTTTCAATAAAGAAAATAAATTTGCAAGCGTTCTGTTGTTCTACCCTGAAACTGTAGATAAAGACATAAAAGCCTTATTAGAAACTCTACACCCTTTTACCAGTTTTACCAGTCCGTTTTTTTGTTTGTTTAAGGCTATGTGTGGGAAATCGAGGAGGGTGAAAGAAAAAGAGACTCATTTCCAAAATGTCCTGCTGCTGCTGCTGCTAAGTCGCTTCAGTCATCTCCGACTCTGTGCGACCCTATAGACGGCAGCCCACCAGCCTCCCCCGTCCCTGGGATTCTCCAGGCAAGAACACTGGAGTAGGTTTCCATTGCCTTATCCGTCCAAAATGTCCTACTCTGAACCAAATCGGTTTTCTCATCTAGTGTTGCAAATGAGAACAGCTGACACATAGCTTCTGAAAGGTATTCTGAATCCTCTACCTGCCATCTAGTGGACATAAGATGAAATGCTGATTCTAGACATCCTTAAAAGTTTTAAGGGGCTTTAGCTGTCTTCTTATTTATAAACCAAAACAAGTCTAAGAAAT